AAAAAAAAAAAAAAGTTAGTACCTCTTTTTTAAGATTTATTTATTTATGCATACAAAAACCGGGGTGCAGGCCAAAGGTGAGGGAGGTGAGAGGGTTCACCAGGACAGTGGGGAGCAGAACAGGCAGATCTACTGAAACACACTGGGGAGCAGCAGGCAAGACAGGAGAGGTCTGCTGCATCATGTGGGTCAGCTCCCTGGGCTGCCAGGGAGGGAACTCATGCTCTAGTGGCTGATAGCGGCTTGATAATGCCTATCTTTAAACCCTGTGCCATAGTCATTAAAAGTCATATCCTTGGGCCCTCCCTGGTGGCGCAGCGGGTTAAAGCACAGCACTAAGAAGCTAAAGCTGTTTCAGCATGAGTTTGATCCCTGCCCGGAGGTGACCCACATAGCGCGGCAGACCTCTCCTGACCTGCTGCTCCCCTCAGCAGTGTACTTCGTCAGTTGGCCTGTTCTGCTCCCCACTTTGTCTCTGGTGAAGCCTCTTACTGCCTCTGCACCTCTGGCCTACACCCCAGTTCTGTATGCATAAATAAATTAAAAAAAAAAAAAAGTCATGTTCTTGGGCCCTCCCTGGTGATACAGTGGGTTAAAGTGGAACACTATGAAGCTATCTGTAGCCACTGCAGCAGGAGTTCAATCCATGGCTAGGGAGCTGACCCACATGGTCAGAAAGGTGATAGACCTCTTTTGCGCCCCCCCCCCCATTCCCCTCAACATTGTGTTTCTGTAGATTTGCCTGTTCTGCTACTCACTCTGAATCCTCTCACCACCATCCCCATCTCTGGCATATAACCCAGTTCTTGTATGTATAAATAAATCTTAAAAAAACTCATGTCCTTGAAAAGTATGAAGACATTTTTATTACATAAGTAGTGTGCATATACACACATTACTATCTATGTACATATATAAAAGTAGAAGTTGGGTTATTTTTAATCTGGGAGGTTATAACTTAAAATGCTTAGAGTATCTTGTGAAAATGTTACGTCTGATTAAAAAGCAAATAGCCTCCACAAAGAACATATCTCTTTGTTACTTTAGCAGGGAGCCAAAAGGCAAAAATAATCCAATAAGGTGATACTGTGGGTGCCTAGTAGAGTGCAAGTTAAAGGTTTGCATTTTTTATTAGATTTCTTATTTCTTTCTTGCACTGATACTTGTTCATTTATTATCCTTGAATTCTAGAATCTCAGAATAGAGAGGGAATACACTGAAGTATGCCCTGGGGTCTAGGGCCACTTACATCTTTGCATCAAGTGAATTTTAAGCATTCCTAATATGTCCTTTCTCTGGACCATCAGTGTGTCATCAGAGGTTGAGTATTTTAACAGTTCCTATTTTCCCAAGCTTCCGTGTTTATCTTTTTTTTAATGACTTGTTTGCTTCTTAGAGAATAATTCAGTTTCCATGTTCTATTTAAGTAATGATTTATGAATTATTTTTAAGCTGCTAGCATCTTAGTTTCTAATTTAGGCTTTTTCATTTCTTATCTACTTAAACTTTGAATGATTGTCAGAAAAGAAATTGAAATTAGCAAATGTAAATTAAAAAGTTTTTTTTAAAGGTTTATTTTATTTATGCATTTAAGAGCTGGGATGTAGGCTAGAGTTGGGGGGAATTGGTGGAGAGGACTCACCAGAAACAGTGGGGAGTAGAACAGGAGGATCTGCTGAAATACATTGCTGAAGGGAAGCCTCAGGCAAGACTGGAGAGGCCTGCTGCACCTTGTGGGTCATCTCCCTGGCTGGGGATTGAACCCATGTTGCAGTGGCTGCAGATAATTTCATTGTGCTGAGACTTAACCCCTTGTGCCAAGAGGGAAGCCCTAAAAAGATAGTGTTAAAAAAATGTTTTTTATCCTTAAGAGTTGTAATTTCTGGAATGCATGACCCTAGTACAGATATTAAATTCTCCCCACCTCCTAGAAAAGCTGCTAGGACCAATGAAAAGTTGCTACATATCCTAATGTTGAAGATTGCAACTTCATTTTAAGCTACTTTGTAAATGAGATAGCAACACAACAGTTTGGGGGGAAAGGAAGTCTCCTTGTTGTCTATCTTTGATCTGGAATGAAAGCACATCCTGACTGGCCAGATTGGTCTGTCATGGCCAATCATGGTTCCTTCTCTGCAGAAGGTAATGGGCATCCTTCTTCAAGGGAAAGTTTCAGCTGTAAAGTTAATATGAGAAGAAAGGGTAACTTTTAGCTAGACGATGTTTTGGGGTTTTTCCTGAAGGAATATTGACTAGATGTGTGGGAAATGCTTAAAATTTGCTTTTTGTTTCCGATATATTACATCTTTAAGTAACACTCTGCTCTGTTTTTTTCCAGGGTTGAGTCCCTCCAGACTCCGAATAGGAGATCAAGAGTTTGATTCATTACCTGCTTTACTGGAATTCTACAAAATACACTATTTGGACACTACAACGTTAATAGAACCAGTATCCAGATCCAGGCAGGGTAGTGGAGTGATTCTCAGGCAAGAAGAGGCAGAGTATGTGCGAGCCCTCTTTGACTTTAATGGGAATGATGAAGAAGATCTTCCCTTTAAGAAAGGAGACATCCTGAGAATCCGGGATAAGCCTGAAGAGCAGTGGTGGAATGCAGAGGACAGCGAAGGCAAGAGGGGGATGATTCCAGTCCCTTACGTGGAGAAGTATAGACCTGCCTCCGCCTCAGTATCGGCTCTGATTGGAGGTAACCAGGAGGGTTCCCACCCACAGCCACTGGGTGGGCCGGAGCCTGGGCCCTATGCCCAACCCAGCGTCAACACTCCGCTCCCTAACCTCCAGAATGGGCCCATTTATGCCAGGGTAATCCAGAAGCGAGTCCCTAATGCCTACGACAAGACAGCCTTGGCTTTGGAGGTACATAATGTGCAAAATGTAGAAAGAAGAGATCTGCTACAGGGTCTCCCTTTCAGACCTCTTAGAGCTTTGTAGCAATGCTGAATACAAACACCAACATTGTGATTATGTTATAGATGTCAAGCCATTAATCACTGATTTTGGCATTTTATATTAGGTTTTCTCTATTATATTGAAAACCTGTTTTGGAATGAATACGCTTAAAATTGTATAACTGAATGTTCTGATTGATTTACTAAACACACTCTGACTACTAAATAACATCACCTGAATTCACAGGAATTAACCTAAAATATTTTTCTCATCTAAATTCTCATCTGTTTCTTTTCTATTTGTCATTGTCTAAGATGTGAAATAAGATGGGCTCATACTGATTTGAGTATAAAAGTGGTTTCTGTCAGAGTTCTTAAATGGAATTTTCCCCTAAGACAGTGTTTCTGCTTTAGGGGCATGGATTTCCTTATCATTGATAGATTGTGTTCATCAAGAAGAACAGTAAATCATATTGCAAGTATACATATCCAAAAGTATTAACTCCCAAGTGTGACAGGTCTACTTGGGCTTTGTTGTTTAATGTATTTTTATTGACAAAATAAGTTCCTCCTGAGGAATTTTTTTCACCTTTTAATGGTAACCCATCTCTTCTGACCTACAATTGCACTGTTTTTCTTCCTTTATTTCTCTCTTCAGAACTTACAACTTTACTTACTTCCTTTCTCCCTCCCTTTCTTCCCAGTTATACACAGCAAGAGGCTGAGCATAAAAGCTAGTAATGAAATAGCCTACTGTCTCATCTTTTCGAGCCTACCAATACCATAACTTGAATGTAAGCAGGTAGCAAACTTTCATGAGCACAGGCTGAAGTTATGTGAGTTCAGATTAGTAGAGAAGGGACAAAGCATATTCTTAAAAACTGAAACCTCCATTTTTTTTTTTTTAAAGATTTATTTACGCATACAGAACTGGGGTACAGAGGAGGCAGTGAATGGATTCACCAGAGACAGAGTAGGGAGCAGAACAGGCAGCTCCCTGGCTGGGGTTGGAACTCATGCCCAAGGGGCTACTGATAATTTGCAGTGCTGCACTTTAACCATTGTGCCACCAGGAAGGGCCCTTCAAATTTATATCACTCAAGAATAGAAGCTGTAAGTAGCATTGTTGCCCACAGATTGAGCTAGAGTTCATCTGAACTATTCTGTGATCTTACTAGATTTGAAATTTTTTCTCTTACATTCTAGATGATGCATGCAAAGGATGGTTAGTTGAATTAGAGAAATGTGTGTTTAACAGTGTATGTTTTCTTGACATGTTACTTCAAAGTATTTTTCTGCTTTGATGAGAAGTTTACTGTCTAGGTCATACTGCTTTTTCCACTTAGAGTTTGGAGGATAAAGAAAGCAAGTTTCTAGCCTCGTGTGTTAAAGTTCCAATGATGGTTATATCCAACGTGGTGCTGTACACATTGTGAATGTGACTCTGCATTTATTGCAGACACTGTTAGCACTGGGCTAACCGCATACATGGGACAAGCCAGCCAACACAGGAGAGAATAGTTACCACATTTTGTTCCTATTTGCATTTCATTTCTCAGAGATTGTTTTTGATGTCTGCCTGATTAGAGGCTATAATGGTGCTCTCTTGGCTGTGAAACATACATTTTGTGAAATAAAGATTGAAGTAGAAAACTAGTTTATGATTTCAGTAAGTTTCTTTTTTGGTTGAATATATCTGGTTTTGAACCAAATTTATTGCTGAAGATGGTCCCTTTCAAGTTAGAACAAATCCTCAAGTAATAGTAGCTTTAAAATGCCTTACATACTTATAAAAATAATGATCATTTAATAAAATCATTAATTCTAGAGTTGGAAAGGCCTCGTAACTATCTGTAATTGTTAGTGAATTAAGCTGATGTTTAGATAGATTGAATGGGTTGTTTAAACTAAGTGGAGGTGTCAATCGACAAACCCAGATCTGATACCTTGGTGACCTTTGTGCCATACCCAAATTTAATCTATAATTCTTTTTGTTTTACAACATTGCCCCTACCCTCTTCTATGCAGATTTTGTGTGATTTCATTGATAGCATGTCTTCAGTTGACTGTATGCAGCAACAGCTCTCTCCTTTATTATCTCTTTTATTTTTCATTTATTATTTATGCATATAAGTAAATTGCCTAATGGGTGAAAGGATTCACCAGAGCAGTGGGGGAATAGAACAGGCAGATCTACTGACATTCACTGCTGAGGGGAGCGGCAGGTGAGACAGGAGAGGTCTACTGCACCATATAGGTCAGCTCACTGGCAGGGATAGAACTCAGGAGCAGTGACTGTGATAGCTTGATAGTGCTGATCCCTTAACCCTTGTGCCACCAGGGAGGCCCCTCTTATCACTGATTTTCATAGGAGCTGGTGCTCATTGCCCTTTTTGATCCACTATATATCTAGATCTGTAGATCAGGGGTTACATTTTAATGGAGTTTTACACTTAATTTTAAATTGATCAGTTGGAATCATTTCATTTCAGATTGGGCAGGAACCTGGTTATAACATACTCATTTCAGATTAGCAGTCTTCAGATTGCTTTTCTGTCCTGAGTTCCTAGGTGGTACTTAGGGAGTGGGAAAGCTGAGGAAACAAGGCTCTGGGTTTCCCTTTTGCTTCAACAAAGCAATTCTGTTTTTAACTATTATATGCTGATATCTCTGTAAGATTCTCTTTGAAGGAAGATTTTCAGTACCTAAAAATGTTTTTTGAAAAAAAGATTTACTTATTTAAGTATACAAGACTGGGTTACAGGCCAGAGGGGTGAGAGACTTCACCAGAGACAGAGTGGGGAGCAGAACAGGCAGCTCCACTGAAAACACACTGCTAAGGGGAGCAGCAAGTGAGACAGGAGATGTCTGCCATGCCATGTGAGTCAGCTCCCTGGCTAAGGATCGAACTTGTGCTACAGTGGCTGTAGAGAGCTTCATAGTGCTGTGCTTTAACCTGTTGTGCCATCAGGGAGGGTCTGTAAAAATGTAATTTTTTAAGATTTTATTTATTTGTGCATGCAAAAACTAGCGTGTGGGCCAGAGGTGTGGGTGTTGGTGATGGGCGGATTCACCAGAGACAGAATGGGGAGCAGAATAGGCAGATCTTCCGAAATACACTGCTGAGGGGAGCGACAGATGAGACAGGAGAGGTCTGCTGCTCCATGTGGTTTAGCTCCCTGAACTTGTACTGCAGTAGCTACCAGTAGCTTGATAGTGTTGAGCCTTAACCCCTTGTATCACTAGGCAAGCCCACCTTAAAAAAATCCTTATAATATATAAGAACCAACTGTCCTTACTTTATATTTGCTGTAACCAGCAACCCACTAAGAACATAAGTTATTAGATATTTTCTCTTTCCACATCTATCATATTTCTCTAATAGAAATAGGAGGCTGTGGAAAGAAGGAATCAATTCTAGGTAACAACCCAAGTAGGGGTAGTTCACTGCCCACTATGGTTTTATAGTTCAGTCAGCCTATTATGGGGGACTATAACTGAAAAAGACACCATCTGTTTCATCCTGAAGCCCGTGGTAAGGACAAGATTTTAAACAAATGTAGGTATGCTGAGTGTTATGGAGGAGAAATATTGGAAATATGATAACAGTGTAGAGATGCCTTTCAGCTTATAATTTTTGGTTATTTGATCTTAGATTTTTGTTTCTTGGTTCTGTGGAGCTGAACTAGTGATTAATAGTATGTTATAAATTCCTGGTGTTAAAGCTTATTTTATGCCTCCGTAAATGCATATCCAAAACAATCAAATTATCTTTTTTTTTTACTTTTTGATGTAGAAGAAGTGGGGTGTGGGAAGAGAGAGAGGATTCATCAGAGACAGTGGAGTACTGAATAAATAGGTGGATTTACTGAAATATACTGCTAAGGGGAGCTGTGGGTTAGCTCCCTGGCTGGGGATTGAACTTTGGCCATAGAGGTGATAGCACTCAAACTTAACCCCAAAGCCACCAGGGAGGCTCCACATATTCTCTAAACTGCCGAACATGTCACTTTCAGTTTTTTTTTTTTTTATTAAGATTTATTTATTTATGGGCCTCGCCTGGTGGTGCAGCAGGTTAGGATTGCAAGCTAGCTGCAGCGGCCTCAGTGCGAATTAGATCCCTGCCCCAAAGCTGATCCACATGATGCAGCAGACCTCTCCTGTCTCACCCACTGCTCCCCTCAGCAGTCCACTTTGTCTTTAAAAAAGAGAGAGAGAGGCCCGCCCTGGTGGTGCAGCGGGTTAAAGCACAGCACTAAGAAGCTGAAGCTACTTCTGCATGAGTTTGATTCCTGCCTGCCCCGGAGGTGACCACATGGCATGGCAGACCCTCCTGACCCGCCTGCTGCTCCCCTCAGCAGTGTACTTCGTTGATCTGCCTGTTCTGTTCCCCACTCTGTCTCTGGTGAAGCCTCTCGCCACCCTTGAGTCTTTGACCTGTACCCCAGTTCTGTATGTACAAATAAAGCTTAAAAAAGAGAGAGAGATTTATTTATTTACGCATACAGAACTGGGGGACATCCCAGAAGTGCAGGGATAGTGAGAGGATTCACCAGAGAGAGTGGGGAACAGAGCAGGCAGATCGACAAAGTATACTGCTGAGGGGAGCAGCGAGCCAGACAGGAGAGGTCTGTCACACTATGTTGGTCACCTCCCTGGCTAGGGATCAAACTTGTGCTGAATCAGCTAAGACTAGCTTCATAGTGCTGGGCTTTAACCTTTTGTGCCACAAGGGAGGGCCATCACCTTTATTTTGTGATTCAGCTGGGCATCATACCTTTGATAGATGATGAGACTATGGAGCAAAATTTCTGGGGTATTCTTCACTTGAACCTGTTCTTCAGAGCACTGATAGAAAAGGTATTAAGTGCTCTGGGTTCCTGATAATAATCAGCAATGACTGCATCAACTGTACATCTCCCTATGTGCTACACTGAAACCTAAGCTGTGAGGCCTTTTGACCTGTTT